TTCGAAATATTAATCGTTTTTGAGATATATAGCAAAAACTTTCAAGGGCACTAGATCCCTAATTTTAGGGGCCAGCCCTTTTTAATGATTTCAAATGAAAGCTCTTGCAAAAATGCACAACTTTTATTCAATATGTCTTAACAAAATATTTTTAGTTTTCAAGAAAAAAAGGGATATATGTGAAAATTTTCACTCTTTTAGGCGTTCTAATTTTTGACCCTATAAAGCGCCATTTTGAATACAGAAATCGAAAAACAAAAACCGATGTGCACAACTTCAATCCTTCTGTTATCTAAAACCAGTAAAATTTCTGATCCAGCTTTTGTGGTCTCTGAGCCTTTATCCGGAAACGAAAGCCTATAATTTTTCTTATAAAGGGAAATAACTCATAAGCGGAAGTAAATTTTTAAAATGTTAGACATTATTCTGATAGAGTTTATTACCATCTATAATGTCTGAAAATTTGAGCAAAATCTATTAAGAAATGAATGAGATATGAGGCCTCAAAGTTGGCGTCTAGGAAGTAGAAGAAAAAAAAAGAATAATAATCTTTACCAACAGAATCAGTAGAAGGTCTTCCGTTGGAAACGGAAGACCTTAATAATCTTCATCTTCAGAATTAGTAGAAGGTTTTCCGTTGGAAACGGAAGACCTTAATGAGAATATCAAGAAAAAATATTAGGTTTTAACACAAAATGTCAAATTTTATCAGAAACAGTCAGGTACTTAAGTTCTAATGCTCCTTTCATTCCAGTGGAAGGAACTGCCATCCTAATACATGCCAACTGCATTTCGCATGGGAGACCCTCCTCCTGTCTTTCCCATTTGCCTCTTGTTTTCTGTTATTTTTAACTTTGCTTTCTGCACGTTTGTCATTGCCTTCCATTCCTTTTTGCTACCCCCACAGCATTGACTTTTCCAACAATTTCAGGCAAAACGGCTTGCTACTTAGCCTTAGTTAGGTTATTACTATGTTTTGCCTCGAGAATAGGATGGAGTTTGACCTTAATTTTAATTATCTCTACCTCTAGATCTGCTAAGGAAACATAAGTGCTTCTAGCTTTCCTATTATTTCGAATGTGTAAGGGATGCAACCACATATTCTACTTGCCTATTAGATATGACGTCATAATAAGCTATATGATGTGAATTTAATTGATTTGAGGTCGTAGAAATAAAATGAAATATAAGGAGGTTCAATTTAGACACAATACTGTCGTTTCTTGGTGGTATTAATAGATTTATCAGGGGTTTATAAACCACATCTATGACGTCATAACTGTTGATCAGTTTTGAGCAGAGCGAAAGTGAAACGAAATGATAATTCGTGTAAAAACACAAAAAAGTTAGAGTTTAAGAGATTAAAAGCAATTAGCATGAAAACCATGTGAGATGCCTGTAGAAATAAAGCTTATGAATAAGGTGCATTTATGCTAATATATTTCTACTATATTTTCGTATAGTGAAAGTGCAGATACTTTTTTTACTTCTCGATCACCCCTCCCTCTGTCAACCGTAACAAAGAGATGCAAAAGTTCAACACTGTGCCAAATACGTTGAAACATAGTTTTTGTTTTTATCTAAAAGTTCTTATTCTATAAAGTTTCTGAAAAATGCTGCTAGAATCGTATGGTTAAAGGAGTTTGATGATTTTTTTTAATATGAGGTATAGAATGTAAAAAAAAAAATGGTAAGGTTTCTTCTAAAGTATTATTCTAAATTATTAGGTCTTTCCACCTTTCTGTGGAAAGACCTATTGAAATTGTTCTGTTTATTAGGTCTTTCCACCATTCTGTGGAAATTAAGACCTAATGAAATTGTTCTGTTGTTTATTACTATTATCATTTTTTCTCTGAAATGGTGTTTTGTTTCTTAAGTTATCGAAAAGATTTATAGTTTATATGAATGTACTCCTTTAATGATTTTTTGTTAAATCCCGCGTAAATGAACTTCGAACCCTTTTGGACTTATCGCCCTTTCGCAAAAACAGGGTTCTCCATGAGCTGTTTAACTATGTTGGTCCCGACGCAGTAAACTTTTCTTCTACACAGTAACGATTCAAATTTTATGCATGCGACACGGTTAAAATGTTGCAGACAAGTAAGATCTGTGATATTTAATTAGAAAATCTAAACACCAAAATTCTCTCTACCTGAAACTTTAATCAAACAATTATATCATCTTTCAATTCCAAAAGTTAGAGCAGAAACAATTTGTTTTCACACTTTCATGTAACGGTTAATTGGTATGTACAATAAAATACATTGTATTATTCCAAAAAATTGTTACAATGTAAATATGTCTTTTCGATAGAGCCATGGCTCTAGAATTATTTTAGCTCTCTAAGTTAGACATAACATTGTACCGAAGTCATTTAATTGATATAAATAAATTGCTTAAAATTTTGAACATCTTCAAGGAACTCTTGAATTATTTTACTGTTCTGAAGTTTCCTTTTTTTGTAATTCGATAACTCGATCAAGAAAACTGATAATTAATCAAGGCAAATTTACTTTCAAAAATGTTAAGTAGTTAAAGCAAAACACGTTTCTTCTCTGTGTTTCCCATCTAGAATTACATATTTGAATTTTTTTAAGCTACTTACAATGAATTTCATTCCTATTTTGGTCAGGAATGTTAAAATCCGAACCCGATTCTCTTTTCCTTTTCTATAATTACAAACTGCCTTGCGTCTCTCGCTTATGTTTCTCACATACTCTTAAATAATTTATCGCCATCCATTTCAAACAAAAAACAACTCAAATCGGCTATTTTCAAACATCTCTTTAATACATGTATAATGCACATGTAATGCAGGTACACAATCATGGGACATTTCACAACGTTTTCACTTACGCTCCCGTCTAAATGCGAAGATCAAATGCATGTTATTCCCAATAATAGGTATATCATAATTTTAATCAGACCCTACCCCTTACATCTTAACTCGAAAACAATCTAATTCAAGCTCATGCATACACCTAGGAGCGTGTAACAATGTTTTTAACGTCTCTTTGCGCGGTCAGTGAAATCGTGGTTATCCCCGAATCGACTACAAATAATTGTGTTTAGAGTTCTGTTTAGAGTAAAAATTATACCAATTGCGAGCCCGATCTAAAATCCAAGTAGAGAAATGAGTTTTTGCTGTTTTATTAGGTCTTTCCACCTTTCTGTTGAAAGACCTATTGATTTCCATCTGTTTCTTTTTTTCCTTTTTATTATTATTTTTCATTATTTTTCCGCCGTGTGATTTTGAGTTTCAAGATTTATCGAAAATATTTTAAGTTTAAAAGAACGCACTCCATAAAAGATTTTAGTAGTTGACCCTGCGGATATGGACTATGACCCCTTTCGGAGTTATTACCCCTTTCTCAAAAAAGCTTGTTATCGCTACTCCTCCGAAACCGTAAACCGTAGAGGCACGAAACCTTTACTAATGTCTTAAGCTTCTTTTGATACAAAAATTACGAAAATATTTTAAGTTTAAAAGAACGCACTCCATAAAAGATTTTCGCAGTTGACCCTGCGTAAATGAGGTTGGACCCCTTTTTGAGTTATTGCCCCTTTCGCAAAAAAGCTTGTTATCGCTACCCCTTCAAAACTGTAAATTGTAGAGAAATGAAACTTTCACTAATCTCTTTGACTAATCTCGTAGACACTTCAATGTTATATTTCAAAAGTATTCGTTCATCCCTTGAATGAGTTATTGCCCCTGAAACTTTTTGAATTTTACAAATAATTAAAAAAATTCGAAACGACAAGCCGTAGAGACATGGGACCAACTGCATAAGATTTAATGACGTTTGACCATAACATTCATGTAAAGGGGAAAGGTCAAGGTCATTCTAAAAACGAGAAATTTAGCTCTTTTAATATCTATTACCTTGCAACATATACATAATGTTTATGCATCATTAATATGTACTCTTTAACTGTTTCAAAGATTTCATTGCTCAATAATATTAACCCTTTTAAAAGTTATTGCCCCTTGTGCGAAAAACCTTGCTACTCCACCGAAACTATTGACCCTAGAAACACCAAAGCTTCACTAATGTCTTAAGGGTCTATAGGCCTAACTTCACTGTATAAGTGTGATAGGATCTGATCACCCCTTATATGAGTTATTGCCCTTTAACTTCTTCTTACTACTATACCGTATTACTTCAAAACTAAAGTCGTGGAGGCATGGGGTCACTGGTTTTACTAGTAACATTTATAACAGAGTACTAGATGTAACGCATTTGGAAGGTGATACTGCTGATTTAATAATAAATACACATATTTCCTAAAGTTTTAATGCATTAATGAATTAATTTAAACCAGGGAAATGTTCATGAAAAGTTTGAATAAATTCTCTGCACCGGTAAAATAGATATTGCTAATAATCCGGGACCGCCGGACGTCGAGAAGACTAGATTCACCGCTTGTCGTCAGTGCGTAGAGTTGTCGGTTCGTATCTCTTTCAGTGTAGGACGCTTCACTGAATATGAGTTCCATTACGAAAAACTTTTGAGGTTCATTATAATTTAGGTTTACTTTAAACGAAATCTAATATTCAACTTAAGATTACTTTATCATTAAATTTACTTACATTTCAATTCAGAAGAAAATGACATGAACTATTTGTGGCGGATGTTTATGTATGTTTTCTGTTGAATATCATCGGAGTAAATCGGGCGACACAGTAGCCTCGCTTTCGGCTCTATATAATCAACACAAATTACTGCGCATGTTAAATACGTGATGACCATGGGAGATCGAACATAGTTCAACTCCCAGAAAAGTGAATTGGCCGAATTCTGATCTGTGAGTTGCCTTAACATACCTGCGTTTTCGAGTAGACGACGTCAGTCATGATTGTGTACAAAGGAAGAGAAGTGCATTTTTGGTAATGAAGTTAGTGATTGATAAAGCATAAAACACAGTGTTAGCTAACCATTGCAATAAATTGCTATTGAACAAAATTTCACCACTGCGTCAGGTAATCATATGATTAAGGTTTAACACATCGTTTCCATAACTATCTTTTGAACAAGCGGGCCCTGAAAAGTAATATTAAACTTTAAATTTATTCCACATTACATTCATCAGCATATGATGTAGAAATAATATCAAAAATAATTAATTAATGATAGCGGTTAATTCATTTTGATAAAATTTTTAATTATTTTTTTTATCTACTTGTAAATTGCTTACCGTGTACCAATAATATAATAGTTCATCACGGTCTATGTCGTGTTTCTCATGTTCTGATGGAGGGACGTAGTTTGGGCAAATTCTTTTATTCGTTATCAGTTCGGCAACATTTCTTTCACGTAAGAAACAATTTTCATCCTCATCAGTGATATTTATATTTTTACAAGGATATCCGACCTCATAAAGAACTTGGTGATGGAATGTAGTGGTAATGTCCTCAATCATCTCTTCAATATTCAATCTAATCTGTTTGGTTTTGTCATTTTTAAGCTGGATTGTATCATCTGGGGTAAAGACTTGCAACTGAATGGACGTTCTGTTTACTGCAATAGCAATGTTTTGGTCACCACCTTTGTCTTTGTAAAAAGCAACATTTTTGAATAGCAGGTCATCACGCAAGGGTTCCCACCTAGAGAAACATAGAGCTACAAGTCTGAAGAAAAAGAAATGCGGTATGTACGTCTTGAAAGAAAATGCTAAAACCGGAGTTTTGTTGACATTTTCTGTAATCTTCCTACATTTATTCGTAAAGTCGGTCTTATTAATACTAGGGATGTAGTATACAGTTCTCGTTTTTGTTGCTCCAATTTTCTTTCTAGTTGCTTCTTCTGTTCTAACTATAGCAAGAATACCAAGTTTTTCCATGTAGGGGATAATGATATCCTTTTGAGTAACATAAGAAGAATTTTTCCCCCATATCTTGACAAGTGTTTGATCCGAAATCCTGCCGGTTTTCATGAAGATGTCCCATTCCTTGACCCTTTCGCAAAAGGGTTCAGCATGAGTTGGGTCAGTGATGATATTTTTAAATGCATCTACAAACCACTGGACGTCAATGATAATATTTTCTTGTAGACCGTCTTCGGCAAAATAAATAATAAGACCTATCTCTTTGAAATATCTAAGCATGTCGGATATCTGAAATTCGTCTAAGGATTTGAATTCCTTCTTTCTTTGTAGTTCATTTCTGCTTAAAATTTTCATTGTCTTTTCCTTCATGTCTTTAACAAAGTGCTCAAATATTGTCCATATTATTGGTATTTTTTCACCCCAGTGTGATAGATTTCGTGCAGTACGAACGATACATTTTCTGACATTTTCTATCATTTCTGCTTGATGTTCATCCAAACGTTTTTCCTTTGGACATTCTACTTCATAGTAACGTGTTTTTGAAATAAGACCTTTCAATGTATGTTCCTCTGGTAAACACTTCTCGAATTTGTTATAAAATGAATAAGAACTGTTTATTTGTAGTTTCCCCTGCAGAATTAAATAAATGGAATTTAATTCAACATAAGCTTTTTTTCTTCATTTTTAGGTGAAATCTTTACCTTGGTTGTCTATACAGTTACATAATTTTATCAGTTAATAAATGCTGTGATTTTATCTACCAAACATACAAGATAAGGTTTTGATAACAAGAGGCCCATTGGACCACATTGCTCACCTGACTAACTTTGGTGATGCCATTCTGTACCATATTTCCCCCGTTGTTATGCCTATTGCGACCTCACCGTAATCCACCCCCCATCCCCCACTACATGTATGTCACAATGTTAACAATTTAGAATCTACACAACCCAAGTATGCTTCCACATAAGTTTCAGATTCTCTGGTCTAGTAGCTCTTAAGAAGATTTTCAATTGTTTTCTATGTATTTCTTTGTAAAACTTTGATTCTATTTTGCAGCCCCGCCCAACCCCCAGGTGTCATGATTTTGACTATTAAGAATTTACACTATCCCAGGATGCTTCCATATAAGTTTCAGCTTTTCTTGCACAGTGGTTCATGAGAAGAAGATTTTCAATTTTTTTCAATATATTCCTATGTTCAACTTTGATTCCCTCTTGAAGCCCCGCCCAACCTCCAGGGGTCAAGATTAACAATTTTGAATCTACACTACCCAAGGATGCTTCTACATAACTACATAGCTTTTCTGGCCAAGTGGTTCTTGAGAAGTAGATATTTTAATTTTTTTTTTCAAATATTTCTGTGTAAAACTTTGATTTCCTATTGTGGTCCCGCACAACCCCCAAGGGTCATGATTTTTAAAATTTAGAATCTTCACTTCCCAAGGATGCTTCCACAAATGATTTAGCTTTTCAGACCCAGTGGTTCTTGAGAAGATTTCCCCCTTCTTTTTTCTATTTTAAAGTTTAATCCACCATCGTGGCCCCACCCTACCCTTTGGGATTATCATTTGAGCAAATTTAATTGTACACAATCTGAGAATGCTTCCATATAAATACTAGTATCACTAATGATAATCATGACTTTGCTATTCGCAGCACAGTTAAGCTTACAAATGGAAATATCGGCGATTTTTAAAAAAATAAACAGTACATACTTTATTAGTATGGGGGATTCTTTTAAGGACTTCACTGATATAAAAAAAAATATAATGTAGTTTAAATCTACGTGTTTGGACATCAAGATTTCTTTATTTTGACTTGTCACGTGATGTCGACGTCACATGATTTTAGCAATTATACTTGTTAAGAGGTCATATATAGATTCCAATATTGCATGGGCATAACCTAAATAAAATTCTAAAATTGATTTGTAATCTTTTTCAACACTATATGTAGCTTCTTATAAGTGCTGCAAACTTATATAGATTCCTTTTTCTATTGCTTTAATTTTATTTGTTGAACGGCAGGTTAATATTTTGCTCATTAACCACATTAAATATAGCTATAATAAATTTATTTGCAAGATTTCATGAGGATCGCAGCACTTGTCAAATATCTTAATGCTTCTGGAGTTTATGTGTTAAAACTTGACAAGATATATATACATTGAGCGTATGCCCTTGAAATAAATGGATTTATTAGCCCCCCCCCCATTTCTTTTTCAATGAATCTGCATACAAAAGCACAACAGTATCTCTTGTCTGGAGAGTGTACGGATAGTTTATAAATAAAATACTAAAACAGACATCGCATCCATGTTAACGGCCTTTTCTTTTACTGCAAATAAGATTTTATATGAGAACAAAAGACATTTTTCATCTTACAAAATGTGACTTGATCAGTCTCTCACTGTGTACAAACTGTGTCATTTTTGCGAGATGACGTCATATTGACAAGTGCATTGCAATCGATGCATCGTTTATATACTGTTGTGTGGGATTTAACAAACGACAAAACTGCATGTATCAGTAAGTTTGGATATAGTATACAGCTACATTGTATCCAGATGTTTGAAATAGCAAATAATCTTATTTCGGGGTATTTTGAAGATCTTATATTATGTGTAACATTATAGTAAACATTTCCCGTACAAATTAAGCCATGCCTCCTAACTGTAACCTTAACTGTGCTGCGTTCTTGAGAAGAAGATGTTTGTAAATAGTTTTAAATGCAAAACTGTAATCTACACTATATGAGGATGATCCCATATTTTTTTAAATGCCATTAATTTTTCCTTAATTCATAATTATCTACACTTGGAAAAGGGCGCGGCCCTTCATTTGAACAAATTCAAGTCGTTTACAACAACATCAACAACGACAACGACGATAGAGAACACTTGAGTCTTTGCGCAGTTCAGTTAAGGTGCGCAATCGAAATATCGACTAAATTTTGTATTTAAAAATGTATTCATAATCGGGATGGCGATTATTTTTAGTACATTTTTTATATCGGATAATTGTATTCATGATTAATAACTACATATCGAGGACGATTATATTTTATATTTAGACTAGTCACGTGATGCGGCAGTCAAGCGATTTTAGCACATTGACTTGCAGTATTGATGTTACAGATAAATATCACTAGTGCAAGGGCATAGCCAAGTTAATTTTCCATGTTTAGTATATAAATATTTTCAACACACATTGTAGTTTCTAAAAAGTGATGCAATTCTGTCTAAATTCTGCAATTTCATTGTTAAAATTATACTTGTATGACCGAATACTATATTTTTGCTGGTCAGCGGCATAAAATATTGATATAGTTAAATTGTTTTTAAGATTTTATCAGGATCGCAGCACTTTTCAGATACCTTAATAGATCTATAGTTGAAATTGAAAAGCTTACTTTGATCCATAGAGTGTATGCCCTTGCACTAGATCGTTGTATTAAGACCCCCCCAACATTACCCTACGATGTACTTGCATACAAATATACGGCAGTGTCAATTAAATGCGTAATGTTCAGAAATATATTAATAAAATAGGGAAAAGGACATTAAATACAAGATATTGGCCCATAGAATATCTGTAAATAATATTTTATTTAATTAGAAAATACATGTTTTGTATAGAAAATATTACTTAATCTATCTCTCACTGCAAACAAACTACGTCACGTTGTAAGAAATGACGTCATATTGCGATCAGTGACTTGTTTATAACTTGTTATGTGGGATTACACTAAGGACAAATCAGAGTGCTGTAGTAATTTTTGATGTAGTTTGATGATTTCTTACTGGTAAAATTAGCAGATAAACTCATTTTGTGGTATTTTGAAGGAATTTTTTATGACGTATATTGTTTATGATGTCATAGTCAAGTCTTCCCGTACAAATTAGGCTCCGCCTCCTTTTTGTAACCTTAACTGTGCTGCGTGGCTTAGGTGAGCAAAACATTAAACAATTACCATACGAATTTTTTTAAGAGACATTATATGTGTTTTATGATAAGTGCACCAATATGGATCTTTTAATTTTTTAAACATGTTATATTTCCTTACTGATATTACATGTTTAGATTGTAACTGAGTGATTGTTTGAATTCGATAACATGCACGATAATTTATGAAAGTACTTTGGATGCACTTGATGTGCATTCCTGTTCAATATTGTATTAATTTTATCAAGTACTAATAACAGTGGTAGTCAACTTCTTCGCCCTTACTAAAGTGTTTGAAATCTTTTATTTTTCGGTGTTCTGCAAACCTCACACAACCATCACCACCCCCATCCCCGAGACGTTTAATGTAGCATTGGTTGTAGCATTGGCAAGTCTACAAGGAGATAAGGTAATGTGGCTAGGAGGCTACTAGCTTGTGGGAGCAAGATTAACAAAAAAGTTATCTTGCGTTGTAGTTTTCACCACCTTATACCGGTAATATCTGCAAAAATGTATTTTAATCTCACTTGAATTCATTCCTTTTAATGAACATTTTCGGAATCTCAGACACTACAAACCTAATATAAAGAACCTTCTGCTTTAGCCAATGTATTATATCGGTATCTATATATGTTGTATGTTATATATTTACCTAATGAACCATATACGTGGTTTTGAGGAAATAAATTGACTTCGCACAGTGGACTTATCTCTTAAAGATAACGTTTACTTAGATGACATCAAATTCCATGATACAATTGTAAGATCAAAAACAGCTATTGCACATTGTACACACTTGATTGATGTGTCTAATTACACATTACTGGGTCATTTACCTGCTTTTCATGCCAGTTGCCCTTGGGTATTTCTTGGAAAACACCTCGACCATTTACACTTCAATATTATTTTTACTCACAAAATATAACTAGCCAAATCAAGAACCCTGGGACCACATCGCTCATATGAGCACCTAGCTAGGTTAAAGCAAATATTAGTTATTGAAAAGATAATAAATTATCATGGCTTTGTTGTTCTTCTGAAGAAATTTTAACAATTTTTTCTGTGTTTTCCTACATAAAACTTTGATCCCCAATATATAGTGGCCCTACTCTACCCTGGGGTCATGATTTGATCAAACTTGGATCTAGACTACGTGATAATTTTACCGTATAAATATAAAATATCACAGATTTGCTATTTTCGACAAGAATTTTTTTTTAATGCTATCCTCCTCTGATCATCCATTTTGGCCTAAACCTTGCACCAGGATCCTGATTTAATCAACTTGCATCTACACTTCCTGAGGATGGTGTCGTCTCACTTTGGCTTTGCTGTTCTGGAGAAGATCTTAACAAAGATTTTCCCTGTGTTTTCATATATTAACCTTTGTTACCCGATTCTAATTTGGCCTCACCTTATTCCCGGGGTCATGATTTGAACAATATTGAATTCATCAGAGGATGCTTCCATTGAGTTTTATATTTACTGGCCCAGTGGTTCTTGAGAGGAACTTATTCCTTTAGTTCGAGAACTTTTTTATCAAATTCGTATATTGATCAGGGTGTCCGCCCCTCTGTACGTCCGTTCTGTCTGTATGTCCGTCCGTCTGTTACATTTTGGAGTACCCATCACATATCCTCAATACCTCTTTTACCAGTAATGCCAAAGTTATTCATTCAGTCGTGTATGTTATACGTACTTTTAAACAGTCGTGATGAGAGGCAATGAGGATAACTGGACTGTTCGTTGTTTCCTGTTTGTTTCCGTCATCACAGTACGTTTTTATTGATCGCAGCCAGAACAGAAAGTAATCTTCAAAAAATGCAAACAGTTGTCATCGTTAACCTTAACAATCATCAATTTATTTACGTTATACATGTATACGTGGACAAAGGTTGTCCCAAAAGAAATGTTCTTTAAAATTGTAAATTCTTAAATATATTTTTTTATATTCATAATATTGGGACGATTTATATGAAGACCGATATGGTCTGTCAGCGCACAAAAATTAATGGGAATAATTTATGCATATTGCTGTTACATTTGCTTTTAATTTCTTTGGTATTATGTTCAACATTGAACTCATATTTAGGTCAGTAAAATCAGGATCAAACTTTTAATAACATGTCAATTTTTTCATATAAATAAAATTAAAACAGACGATAAGTGACAATATTTTCAAAGTGTGGTTGGAATTGAATTTGATGAAAAATACGTCATCAAATGCGTAACCGGCGCACGGAGATGAATAAAAATTGTTTAGGTTATGTTTTATATACACCACAGACAAGTGATATTGCACACTAAATCTAAAAGAGAAGTTGTTTTAAAAGTATTGGATTCAATGATAGCTTTTTCTTAGTACCGAAAATAGTTACCGCATGTAAGAAGTGAAGTACTATTTGTTAAACTCAGAAAGTGGGAATCTTTGGCCATGAACGACATCAAACAATGTGTATTTTCTGCTGCCTAAAATAAGGTGATATTTTGACTAAATTTCGACTACAACTTGAATCTTCTAAAAGAAAAAAAGAAAAGGAAAGCAGTGAATTTAAATACATCCCTTCATCAATAGTGGTGTTGCACTTTAAAAAAAAATTGGGAGGTTTTATTTAGCGCCTTTTTCGGAAAGAAATTTCTGCGCTTAAAAAGACCACAGAAAATTGCGCTAAATCAGATTCTGGTTTATTTATTCAAAACGAAATATCATACACGTCAAATATAATACATTAGAGAGGTTTAGCAAGCTCACTTGTACATGTACATGTACGTGTAACTAAAAGTTAGAATTACACGTACACGTTAATATTGTTTTCTTGTTCAGCAGTATAACCTGTACTAGTAAGTTTTTAAATATAAAAGTAGTTAACATTAAAAATTCATCCAAAAAAAGCAATGATTTTAATACCTATATCACCGTTTTACATAAATATGTACATGGACTTATGAGAAAACGATTGTACAGATTTCTTACAGTCTTAATCGGTCAAAGCCTATTTTGAAAATGTAGATGTTTTGATTTTAACTTCCTATAAATAAATACTTTTCAATTAATGACGTTCAGCTCTTTTAACAGTTATTTGCATTAAATATTCAGGTTTTAGAAAAACGCACACTTGTTCAAAAAATAAACAGCAGTTAAAGAATTATAAGGTATAAGTTTTGACTTACGCGTACTTGGTAATCTAAGTAACTTGTGTTAGAGGATACGTGTAGAAATTCGTCATTAGCAAAAGTGATGAAGTATTTAATGCATTCCTGGTGTTACATGTACACGTACGCGTACACTTTGGTTTGCTCAACAGTATACCATACCACAATTTAATCTTTGGTACAATATTTTCTTTAAAAGCGCTCTAATATATGTCTTTACAATAGATGGACCAAATTTTTCCTCACACTTATTTTTTCTTAAATTTTTATATTTTGTTCTAGGATTCAACATCTCTCTTTATAGTTGATATGTAAGAAAATTAAACACACATTTTTGCCCACATAGTCTGAAATATAGCCTATAAGACCGCTGTAAGAAGATTGTGAAATTAGGCTTTCGACTTGAGAATGAGCCTTTTTTTAGACTTATCAATTGATCTATTGCTTTGTGTAATACTTTCAATAAAGATTACCTTTTTGTTACTTTAAATCAGTAAGTCAAATTGTTACTGGGAAATTTGGAAAAAAATTCCTTAAGGTAGGATTCTTCTTACATTTCTTGTATTTAAATATTAATGAAATTTTCACAGAATCAAGAGAACAATATTACTAAGTAATGTTGTCAGTGAGATTAAATTTGACCGTTTTATATTAGAGGCAAGGTCAGGTAAAGGTCATTACCTTTTTCTTGGACATTAAGAATAAAAAATCACTGTTTCCAATTATGCGATCACTACTTGTAATTCAAAAGATTGAATGCTTTTCTTTTGGCATTAAAAGATACTACCATATAGGGCCTATAAGAGGAAAGTACTAAATTGACAAAGATAATCTAAACAAAATGGATATTGCTAATCCGATATTTGCTCTATTTTTCTTAAAGTTTTAGGATAAAATAATTTTTCAATATGCTTCCTATATTCAACTTTTTATTATTTTCACATATAGTAAAGTTGTTACATAAAGGCACAAAATGATACAAAAACTAAAGGTTTTGATCGTTTAAAGACGTACAACACACTGGGGGAGATAATTCTTGCGATTTCAATTGAACGTTTGACGTGACGTCAAATTTAACGTCAAAAATAAAGCGTCAAAACGACGAGTAAAACGATCCCGATGTATATCAATCATGAAAGAAAATTGAGATATGGGGCTTGGCTGTGATTATGCGTACCATACTCAATCAATACTCAATCAAAAAGCAAGACATAAAATAGTTAAATACCATCCCTTAATGTTTATTTCATTTTATTTCATATGCAATAAATTGTATTTTTGATCAAAGCGCAGCATTTTATTTATTCTGAAAATTTTATTTTACATTGCCGAAATTCTCATTATGTACAATTGGCGATATACCATTACGATTACTGGTCTTCATTACAATTTGTGCATACACGATATAAATATTGTTTTTCTTCTTTAATTAAATAGAACAACAATATAAATAAACAAAAAAAAACTTTTTACAATGTAAAAACGATGTTGTTCTCAGCCCCTTACTGATCAAAGAGGAACAACTCTGAAAATGTAGATGTTTATTTTCCTCCCTTTATTTACGGTTTTCCACAGAATCAGATACATTTACAGCAAGACCTGATAAATCCGAGAATTGAATACTATAGACCTCATATACACAATGTAATTATAGAATTGAAAAGAGTTGTTCACTTGTACTGAAATTATCTGCATTTATGAATATCCTATTGCAACAAATCGTAACTTTGACTTTCTGTCAACAATGTCGGTTCGCATTTCCTCGAATCAAAACAAAACGTAGCCTGTAAGATTTTAAAAAATATCAATGTCCGATTTGATATAAATTGAAATAGATGAAGAGTTTAATGTTTGATATTTTGAAGTTAATGTGGAAGAATACGGAATTTTCATTTTAACTTTAGAAGCGACGACATCGAAAGAAATGCGTACAATATCACGAGGGGTGTATGTACACCTAATGCAAATGTCGATGTATCCCCACGGCCACATACTGTCTCGTTTAAAATAATGACATGAAAGAAACTACAATTATTCCATTTATATCACAGGAGAGTTGAACATACACCATTTCTTATTGAATAAAATTAAAGAAATAAAATTAAAAATCAACATATTCAAGTTCAACAAAACTTGAATTCGTATCCAGGTTTCATGTGATATGGAATGCATAACGCATACGTATATGGACTAAACACTAAAATCTTTCAGTAAATTTTTCCTGATACATATAAAAAGAGTAGTCAATATCTAGTCTGCATTCATGAATTTAAAAACGAATGCATACCTCCGGGATTCTTGACAAAATACCAGTATATTTGCACCGTAAACGACGTTTCGTCATACGATAATGGTCTGCGACGCAAAAGAGGAAGGGGTGGGGGTGATAGGGGTATTCAAAAATTGTCTAAAAATCTACATTTAAATACGCTTTACATATTAGAACTTTTAAATTTTGTAAGTTAATATATTTTTTAAACAAAAGCAATATTCCAATTTAATTATTTTTAATGTGTATTTGTAGATTTATATAACAAAATGATCGACCCTGTCTGTAAGACGCGCGGGAACGTGATTTATTGAGAAAGGAGTAGGGGGTAATTTTCCGCTATTAAATCAAAACTGGTCGTTCAAAAATTATTTAAAAAATTATGAAGATTATTTTTACTACCAGCTACCTAAAGAAAGTTTTTTATCAAAATTAAACGACAGGTTTTTTCACAAAAAAATTTTGAATTTGAAAAATACGCAATTTTCAAGGCTTAGAAAATTCATAGTTTTTCAGTTTAAGGTCTTTAAAAATTGTTTTGATGATATGTATATCAAAAAGATGACTATGTTTTTGTGTTAAATGGTTTAAGGAATAAGCCAATGAAATTTGACATTTATATATCTAACCTGGTTTTTTTGAAAATCAAGGTTTAAGTAGTTCATTGATTAAAAATTTTCTCTCCTTGTAAACAACTAAAGGGGGATAACTTTCGGAAGTTCCTGTCCAAAAACCACTCAAACGATTTTGTCCAAAATATGCATACATGCAGTAGGTATAGTCATGTACTATGTAAACAAAAATAACGAAAATTAAACGACAGGAATTTTTGGGGGTAGGTGTTTTGTACATCCTTAATATGAGGCAAATAACGCTTTTTACGGATTTTTGGCTTAAATCTGTACTTAGATTTGAAGCATTTAAAAGCCAACATAGTTCTAGTATATGTGAAAAATCTTATGAAAGTATTACACAAAGCAATAGATCAATTGATAAGTCTAAAAAAAGGCTCATTCTCAAGTCGAAAGCCTAATTTCACAATCTTCTTACAGCGGTCTTATAGGCTATATTTCAGACTATGTGGGCAAAAATGTGTGTTTAATTTTCTTTCAAAAATCTTATTTATTATGTTCCCCAAACGGAGTTTGGGAACATAATGTTTTAACTCGGTTTATTATTATTATTATTATTAAGGTCTTCCGTCTTCAGCTGAAGACCTTCATGTTATTCTTAGGTTTCTTTTCCACTATTTTTAAGGTCTTCCAAGACCTTCTACTGATTCTGATGATTAAGATTATTATTGAATCGAGCGATGCACTTTTTTTCTTGATTACGTTTTCTGCTAGTTTTCAAATGCAGTTAACAATTTCTAGTTAAATTTAATTATTTCTGTGATAGGACAGTAGGATTCTAGCAGCACTTTTCATGGTACAGAGATGTTTTTACATAAGTATAATTACAAATTGAAATTAATTACCCTCGGGGTAGTGTTGAACTTTTCACTTTTTTATTATAGTATATTTTCAAATTATAGACGTCACGTGGTGACGTCGTGGTGAAGTGCTTCATGTAGTATAAGTCCCATTGAAGTCTGTAAAATGCATATTTTTAACAAAAGTTTTATGCTTGACTTTTCCGATTTATTAGTGTTACATAATTATAAAAAAGTCTTAATTCGCCGAATTCTGGTCCATGTGCTGCCTTAACATACCCGCGTAATGAAATTTCTTTTTAATTTCCTCCTTATAGTGTTTGCTTAAAGAATGATATTCCACTTGTTTTTAGAAATCAAACCATGCAACAATCAAGTTCCAATACTCTTTAATAGAAAAATTAATTTTTCCTTCATATCAACTTTTAGCTTGTAAAAGTTTGGCAAATCCGTTTTGACAATGAAAGAGGAGGAAATTTTTAACCTCTCCCCCCCAAAAAAAATTACGTTAAATCAAAACAAAAAAAATAAATGAAAAGCAAAAAAATAAATAAAACTCTATACCTTTCAAAAATACTGAATGATTATAGATGGGGCATTGAAATGAAGTAGAACAAGTTCTACATGTATCATATCATTCTTTATTCCGCCATGATTAAAGCGTACTTTAGTTTGGCAAATCCGTTTTGACAATAAAAGAGGAGGAAATTTTTAACACCCCCCCAAAAAAAAAAAAATTACGTTAAATCAAAACAAAAAAAAAATAAATGAAAAGCGAAAATATAAATAAAACTCTATACCTTTCAAAAATACTGAAAGAAGTTATAGATGGAGCATTAAAATGAAGTAGAGCAAGTTCAACATGTATCATATCATAATTTACTCCGCCATGATTAAAGCGAACTTTAAATGTTGGTGGGGGTATACTTGAAAGTATTGTGGCAAAGAAACAGTTGATAATTAGTAGAATAGTGGATTATTTCAAAGCTTATTTTTAGTCCCTCCTTATAGAAAAATAAAGGTAGGGTAGTTTTTTGTTGCTTTTTTGTTAATCGACTTCATCCTAAATAAATAAGGGGGTGAGTTGGGTATAACACCTAAAACAAGCTCTGTAAAGCTATGGGCTGGTGTAAAATACACATTCTAATGCAAAAACTACACATGTAGACATAACCTTTTGATTTAGCACACAGTATTCATTACATTTCTTAATTCTTGTTGTACTCCACCCTTTTACCCAGTTCTGAGTATATTTTTCAGAGAATTTCATATGAAAATCAGAACAAACATTTTCATTTTTGTAATGTCTTCTTTATTCTGTATCATAATATGAAAAGTCCTATTTCTTTTTAAGTCCCTGTAATCGCAGTTTCGGGGGTAAATAGTTTTATACTGTCCGTCTGTGTGTCTGTGTGTCTGGCGGTCTGTTTCTCTGCAAAAACTTTAACCTTGACCATAAGATTTCATTCATTGTAGCAATACCTTTCATATTCAATATGTGTATATTCCTTGTGACAAGACCTTACTTTGGGTACCACCAAAATTGGCCTTTTGACCTTTATCTTAAAGTTTGTCCCATTTTACCAAAAAATGCCAAATTTTTAATTTACTTTGGCTATAACTTTTTAACTGAAGATGTTAGTACTCTCACACTTCACAAATGCTATCCTTGTTACATTAAACCTTTCTTAAGAAACCATCAACTTTGACCTTTGACCTTTGAGTTTGACCTTTCAAACACCTATCCTTAGCCATTAATTTTGAACAAGTGGTGCTAGGGCTTTCCTATTTTGCAATTGTATTTCTTGTGAGAAGACCTTACTTTGGGTACCATTATACATGTATTTAAATTGCATTTAAGAAATGTTTAATCTTCGCTATGTTGCCATACAGGGGCATATCTGTTTCACAAACACATATTCTTATATATAAGAGGAGTTGCGGATAACAGATGGATACCCCAAAGTGTATCAGACGGACGGACGTCCCGATCACTATATTCCCTCCCGCTTTTCAAGCAGAGAATATAATGATATGTGATACTGCTGATTTTTTCTGTCAGTACGATGATTTCCACCATCGAAAAACAATGTTTACCTAACCTTTTAGGCTCGATAAATCTTTACTCTTTTAGATCCTTAATCATATCATTGACCTTAAAATATAGCTATAATCGTATGTTATGAGATCAATATATCATCAATTTATTCCAAATAAGCTCAGGTGAGCATTTTGGCCAATATGCTTCATCTAATTTTTTTTTGCCCCCTAAAAATTTCAGCTTTAATCCACAGGGAGTCATTTTTCTTCACGTGTGTTCTGCGATTTTTAAGGTGGTGGCACTTTTTTTACGGGCAAAAGGGTCATTTTTATACGTCGAATATTTTACTATTACTATTTTTGGAACAAAACTTTATAACAGAATGCAACATGCCTGACTATTGCACTTAGATAGCATAAACACATTCCAGAATATAGGCCCCCAAGTGACCAATACATAGGATTCACTGAAATTTTTCACAAAATATGACGCAAACATGACAAAACTTATTATTTTTCTTAAAGAGATTATTAATTGTTGTAAATATAGTGATATTATTCTTTTTTTCTCTTGTTCTTATTAAGGAAGTGGTTAGAATAGAATCCACGGGTGTTTTGTCCCATCTTAAATGTTATAAATGAGGACTTTCATTACCATCGGTCTAAATTTTATATATTTTTTTTTAATAAAAGATATACAGAAGAACAGCCTGACAGTTGGTCAGGTTTTTTTTTCGGGGGGGGGGGGGGGATGGGATTTCCATTTAGCAATACTTCATGCATTATGGTAAATTCGTATTTACCTTAATGAAGTCCATTATTCAAAATTAAATAAAAAATAGGTTGAAAAATTTCATTACAATTTTTTTTATAACTGATTTTCAAAACGATTTTTCAACTGATAGGTAGATTGACCTCATAAAAGTGTGCTTTGGACATTATGATACATGTAAACTGGATCTCTTAAGGAAGGGAAAATTAAAATGTTAAAAAGAAAAGGTATTCAGTATATGCTATTAATGAAATTTAAACATCTAAATCTGAGAATCTCTTGATCATTTTTATAATTTATTATTTTTTTTTTCCAAATTTGGAAATACCCCCTCTGGAAACAAGGTGGTAGAATTTTGTGGTTCATACATTTGATGTACAATAAAGGGTCACCAATCATATAGTTTGAGAAAAACTTCTATTGTATTATTTGTATAATTTGCTTTAAAGTGCGAAAGATTGCAACTTTCCTATATACATTGTAATCCTATAGTAAATGTACTTGTATTTCGAGACGGTCACATTAAAAAACTGGGTAGTAGATTTCACGAAACTTGGCATGTATGCTGAAGTCAATTTAAGTTTAATATGGTTCAAAAACAAGGAATTTCTCTATTGTAGTTTTTATGCCAAAAAATTACAGTTTGCCCCCTTATGAGAAAAGCAATATGCCTCCGGATCTTCTTAAAAACTTAAGTAATTAAAAATTTCTAATTTTCATCTATTTTTAATTAACTCATATTATCATATTGAAAGTTTTCAACATCATGCCAGTTAGGTAAATACATAAATATATGCATGCTTTGAGTATAGCATAGACATCGAGACTGGGCGAAGGGCCATGGGAGGGGATGGGGGCTAAGCCTCCCAATTAATTTGGAAAGTAATATACATCGTATGAGCAATGAAAATGCAGCGTACCCTTTTTAAGTTTATTGCTCCCCTTCCCCGTTTGTTACTGACACCTATGTATTGAAAAGATAAAAATTTGGACTGAGGAATCTTATACCCGTCTTCTCCTCTTTTCGACAGGCGTAAATCAATTCATTTTTGAGGTAAGGGTTTGGCTTATTTTTTGAAAGATAAATAAAAAATAAAATCTTTCCATGACTGAAATATGATTTTCTTTTTCAAAGTGCGTTAAGTGTCTCCATGTTAAAATATATTGATGTAGACTCTTCACGCAATTTTTTTTTTTCAAAGTGCGTTGATTTTGTCCCAATTTAAACGCACTTTGAAAGTTTTTTTCAAAGTGCTTAAAATTTTTAAAGTGCGTTGTCACAGCCGTATGCATTTTTTAAATTAAGCTTAAGATGTTTTCTGATCCCGGGACCTGGTCTTCTTAAAAATTGCAGGAATGTTCAATGCCATACAACATTATTTTCTTTCACATTTGGATATTTTACGTATTTAACTAAATTTTATTTTAAAGGTTACTTAACAAGAAAGCTTAATGGTAAATATTACGTTTTCTACATTTCAAACTTCCCTGAATTAATTATGTACAGTGTAGCAATATCCTGCATATGAGTTTATGTTTCTAAGTTGATTTAAATAATAAGCAAGTTCATAATCTATATGCAAAATCTTAATTGAGTCAAGCTTTCAATAACAAGTTGATGAAACAAGAATATCAACAGTCCCCTTCAAAGTCGTCATTTCTCAAGTTCAATAATCGATACAATTTTTCATTTATGCAAAATGCTGATTGACTTTTTCATACAATTGTTTAGTAATTATTTCCTCGGATTTTATCGTTTTCTGATCAGGAAACGAAACACAGGATAATAGGTCTGCAGACGGTGCTCACTCCTCCATAGCACCTGATACCACCTCTGATGAATAAGAGGTTTGTGTTGATTTCGTTCCTAATTTGAACTGCTTAATGGACCTATGAGCTTGAATATATACTGTCCGTTATCTCCATATTGTACCATTTAAAACACATTGGTTGATTTCTCTTTTCTCTTTTCTTAATTTATTTTGTTTGGATGGCATTATGAGTTTTGACTCTCTTCGGTGTCTTCGTATATCATGAAACAGTCATACGTTTTTAAATCTGAACTTAGAAATTACCTTTGTATGCCCAGCCATGAAATAAAGATCCTTTTGGGTTGTGTCGATCAGTGTCTTGTGTGTGAACAACTTCATTCAGTCCTTTAGACAAATCCATAACAACCAGGTAAAAGGCTCTTCTTGAGAGGTAAATCTGGTGACATGCGTAATACGCTACTTGACCGGCGAAGTCCGTCATACTTATTATCTGTTTGTCTTGACTTCCATCTTCTGTGTTTTCGTTTTTGGAATTAAAGTCTGAAGGAAGATAAACTGATATATTGATATACCTTACGAGATTCAACACAATTTGAAGAGTTGAAACAAGTATCAATACGTGTTCATGTATTATAGTCGCCACGTGTTGCAGTGGTTGGAGTGTCTGCTCTAGAGTCGTGAAACAAGGGGTCATTCCTTACGTCACGGGTTAGAACTCCACTGTGGGAGGTGGAGACCGGTCCTTCGGATGAGACCGTATAAACCGAGGGCCCGTGTCACAGTAGATGCTACCAGGAAAGATATTGCTGAATGCTGAATATAGGACAAAATTTGTAGCTCTGCACCAGCAAGTGTTGGCCTCTCCATATGAGTGAAAAAATCATTTCGAGGGATTTTAAACAAAACACAATCAATCAATCATGAATTATCATAAAGAATAATTTTTCTTTACCTTATGTGGGTAGAGTTATCACATAAGATCTATAATTAATAAATATCTCTAAAAACTATGAAATTATTTACCTACTAAGGTGTCGTCTTTTACTTCAAACAGATCTTCGTGAATTTCAAGACCAATGGTTGTTTCAGTTGAACATGGACAATGGCTTGTTTGAGTCCTCTGAAGCTGTCTAAGCAGAGTTGTTTTTCCTGCACCGGCGCAGCCCACTATCAGTCCTCTGGCTCGGCGCATGTTCGTACTTCCATGCTCGGAAATTTCGACGAACCTTTTCCTTGCATCTATGTCCCATTTCAGTACCTCTTCAGGTATTTTTACTTAAAAAATATTTATCATATATATATATATATATATATATATATATATATATATATATATATATATATATATATATATATATATATATATATATATATATAAAAGAAAAAGAAAATGAAGTTTCCAAATTTCATTTAACACAAGCGCTTTCTGGATTTCATAATCCTTCTTCAGGTGTACATAAATTGAACTGATTGTTTTGCTTAGTAACGTTAACTATGACGTCATGATGTCATGAGAGTCTTTGCAGGGAAGGAAGTAATCTATGACGTCATAGTATGGCTACGTTAGGTAAAAGTTAGGGAAAATCAAATTGGACAATAATGGACAATAAATTGCATATTTTTCAGGCTATATAAACAAATTAAACAGAAATTCTAATTGATGATATATAAAATTAGGTAATTTCTCAATGTTAATGTTTGTTCAGTTTTGGTGAAAAAAGATTTATGAAGTAGTTTTCTTTTGCTAATGTCATTGCAATGGAATCGTTCCTAAGTTTATAAAAGGGGAACACACAGTAGTTTCCTTGTGAGCAAATATCAAAATGTTCACTGTATGGCGTGTTTCTGAGGCTCGGATTGTTAATTTGTTGGCGATGTACGCGCATGCGGGCGGTTAACTGGGTCCCGGTCTGGCCGATGTATTCCTCTCCGCAGTTGTTACAAGTAATGCAATAAAGGAGGTTTTTGCTCTTACAGGTCATATTTTCATTCTTGTGAATTCCTATGTTAAACTTTGATCCTTCTTTGTACCCTCTACCCCCGGGGGTCATGATATAAACAAACTTGAATCTACACTTTTAGAGTATGCTTCCTTATAACTACAGTGAACTTTAGTTCAAACAAGGATATTGCGAATTTACGGATATAGCGAAGTTATCTTGGATCCCCGGCCGTATAAATTTGATGAATTCTTTATAAGGATAAAACAAATTACGGATATAGCAAAGTATTTTCACAGGTCCCGACGACTTCGTTATAACAGAGTTCTACTGTATAACCAATGAGAGCTTTACTGTCTTTGAAAAAATAAATTTCCTACGTTTTTCTATATTTAAATTTGATACCCAAATGAGGCCCAATTCTACCCCCAGGGGTCATAATGTGAACAAACTTGCATCTACATTACATGAGGATGCTTCCATGTGATTTTCGTATTTCCTGCCACTGTTTTACTTGACATGAGGATGTTGATAGATTTTTTATAGGTATTCTAGGTATTTCTAGGTATTCCTATGTTAATCTTTGACACCCCATTGTGCTCCACCTAAACTACCAGAGGATGCTTTTACCCAAGTTTCATTTTTCGTGGCCCACTAGTCCCTTCGAAGAATAATTATGATTTTTTTTCGATGTATTTCCATGTTAAACTTTGATACCCCCTTGTGGTTCCACCTTACCCCCGGGAGTCATAATGTGAACAACTCTCAATCTACACTACAGTGATACTTTAAATTTTTTAAAAAAAATAAATTTATCTCTGATTTAAAATTATCTCCCCTTCGAAAAGGGCAGGAGACTTCATTTGAACAAACTTAATCCCCTTTTGCCCAAGTATACTTTGTTGCAATCTTGATTTAAATGGGTTCAGTGGTTCTTAAGAACAAGATGAAATGTGAAAAGTTAACTTCAACAACGGCGACACCAACAACGACAACGACGACAGACAACGGACAAATTTTGATCAAAAAGCTCACTTGAGCTGAAATTAAAACAAAAAACAGGTGAAGGAGCAGAGCAAAATTCAGTAAGTTACAAAAAATAAAGTTAGTAATGTATATTGTCATATTCTCTGTAAAATGGAGCAAAAATGAAATTCAACCTAGAAATTTGAAATAAAAACAGATACAACGATTCGTACTCCAAATTAGAGTTTAATATTTTGCTTCGTTGAAAAGAAATCAACTTGAGACGATAGGTAGTCCTCGATGATGACGACAAAAACAATAACGTTTTAGAACTATCTGCGGAGCAGCAGATATTGATTTTCTATTTTACTCAGAAAATCCTTAATAAACTCCTCAAATGATAGAAGAATGACAGAATATGTCACAAACGAGTTGTGCACGTTGGGACTGATAGAACAGGAAATATTTGAGTGATAGAGGATCAGACTGTATCGGATGAGGACAATCTGCGAATAAAAGTTTTAACTGTAAAAATCTGCACAGCAACTTAAAAAAGTTGGAAAATCAAGGAAAGACATATGCCTTTCAGAATTACTTATCCTGTGAAAGCAGTGAAAAGAAATGAAATAAATAAAAAAAAATCTATCAAAGGAATCTATAATGTTCGAGGATTGTTAGAAAAGTTCGCGGACACATTGATTTACGGAAAATCTATTGTGTATTGTAAAGTTTGACCTATATATGTCTAATTACCTATATTTTGCTCATTAGTATGTAAAAAATCGGGTCCAATTACTAAACCTTTGAAAATTCACAACGATCTTATTATGTAATCATAGGATTCATGGTACAATCACTTGTCGTTGGTGACGTGAACACCAGATTTCAAACCTTTTTAGATTCATATTACATCCGTAGTTCTAAATATTTTACATTTCTTTGACTTTTTCTTGTCTTTGTTCTACTTTAAAATATATATCATGATCATTTTCGAGACATGTTACTTTTCTTCTATAATGTCTTAAATGTTGTTCAGATATTAATGAGATCTTCAGATGAACGTCTACGCAGTTCAACGAGCATTATCAGGTTTGGAAACAATGCAAAATCCTGGACTTAACTATTACTTCCATGCTATAAGCGGGGTTACTGAGGTATCGCATGAAAGTTAATAATAAAAAAAATGTTAATCCTTCCATTGTTATGAAGCTACAACACATTTAATATTATTGTCTTTTTTACGTGTAGACAATTTCTAGCATCATCTAGAAACATTTTAGTTTATTTATTTTAAATTTTCTTGTCAACATACATAAATTTTAGTAGTTCTGTGCTCCATGACGTTTAATGACATTCCTATTCTTGGGTTTCATTTTACGCGTTGATTATATATAAATGACCATAAAACGTTCATGTATCATGCAATATAATTCAAAATTTCACCAAGTGACGTTTTGTGGATACTGTTGCGGCAGGTAAAATTTCATAATTCTCTTTGCACTATAACTGTTCATTTTTTAATTTCATTAAAAAGTCTATGTAAAATAAACGCTCGAAAAAGTAGCATTCTCCGTGAACCATGTCTTATCAAAATAATATATCTGTATGGTTTTTTTATTATCACAGAAAAACATCAAACCTTTGTTTATTTATTCGAAATTTTCTGGAGACTTTAATCTGTTTCATCTCACAATAGAACTTGTCCGCGATTTTTCTAACAACCCTCGTACATCGAAAATGATTGAAAAACTATATCCTGTCATGAGACAGTAATACCCGCACTAAGGTGTTTGCCTCTGAAAGCACAGTCTTTCAAACTGGGCTTTATCAAGGAAAAAAGTTAATATAATTCAATAATTTATAAAATCCATGTATTCATCAAATAGAGCATAATATGCTCAGGTGACCATGTGCCCCATGAGATTTTCTAGGTATTTCATATTCTTAATTCATTACCAGTCTGAAATTAAACAATAGAATTTAATTAATTATGTAAATTAGGTTTGATAAAAGGGGGATTATATATTTTTGGCCCATGATTGAAACATTTTAATTCTATTTTCTCATATAGATCAACAACAAATAATATTATTCAAATATGTGTAAAGCGTTTTTGATGAATTTTTAAAAATGTGCAAACTTTTTGTTTTTTGATATTTGATTAGACAGAGACTTTTCAAAAGTTTCCATATACCCAATCAATCTAATCGCCCCCCACCTCTCTTTCATCAACACACACACAGACACACTCTATTTGCCTGTTTTGAAAATATGCCTAGATGGCAAATTTAAGTAAACATCTTTGTAAATGATAAGTTTTATTTGTTCTTGTACTATGCATGTATCTGAACACCTGCATCACATTGGGCTTGCGTTACGTACTATAATTAAGTACTATTTTTCCATCATATTTTTAATTAGACTGCACGTGCAGTGTGTTGTACAAATCATTGCATGTACGTATAGAAGGAATTATTTCATTTTGTTTTTAAGGTGTTTCCACCCTCACAATTTCAATGGTTTAATTGTTCAAAGTACAAAAACTGCATTTATTTTTATTTGATATATTTGAATTTTCCAATTATTGCTAAAAATGCATAGGCCACCATATTTATTTAAGATGCAAAACATAAATAAACAGAAGTGTATGTCAACATAAAAAAATCAAACATTTTTTGCAAACAGTATTGTGAAAAATATGTAAAAACTGGTTAAAATGCGTAATTCTGATGCTGAATGTTCCCAAATACTTCCTATTCCTTTTGAATTGTGAATATCAGAAGAGCAACTTTACATTAGAAGTACAATAAACCAAATGCCTGAATGAAGAAACCGTAGAAGGAGTTATTGCCCTTGTCAACTTTTTTTAAAGATTGAATAATTGATTAAATAAAGAAAATATGCATTTTAAAAATTCTTTAACTTAACAATATTTATCATTACACCTGTTGTAAAGCATTCTTTCAAAAGATTTCTTTCTATTATGTATGAATTTAAACTATTTACAGTTTTTGCAAAAGCCTATGACATCATAGGAGAGAGGAATAACCTTAATTGAACTATATTTCATCAAGTTGGCAGGTGCAATGACATTTGGTAATTACAAGTTTTGGTATAGATTTGGGTAAAATAGTCTGAAATGCAAATGGTTAGGTTAAAGTTTAAAGGATCAAAGGTCTTTAGATGCTACAATAGACAATTTTCACATTCTGAAGAGTTATCTCCCTTGTAGACTTCATTTTTAAAGATCCAGAATATTTTTTCTGGGAGTGAGGATTTCCAGACA